TTTTTTTTTTTTTTTTTTTTTTTTTTTAAGACAGGGACTCGCTGTGTAGTCCAGACTGTCCTTCAATTCATTGTGTAACCCAAGCAGACCTTGAACTCACAGTGATCCTCCTGCCTTAGCCAGCCTCTGAATAGCTATCTTAAGGGAAGATTTGGTGCTAGGCATTGGACCCAGGGCCTCAGTTTTGTCACTAAGTGGAGCTGTAAGAATGGTTTACTAACCTGCTCAAGGCCACATAAATAATAAAGCTAGATCCATCATACCCTAAAGTTTCCTGTAATTTTATCATTCTGTTAATATCTATGAGCTTATGTGTGACGGAGAAGAATTAAGGAGGTCAGAGAAAGGGAAATATTATAGGACTAGAAACATGTAGTTTTTAAAATATAAAATTAAAGTTCTGAGAAAAGTTCTACACTAGATGACAGTCAACTCTGTGAACTTGCAGTGATTCCTGAAGGTGCAGTGAGAACCCTAGGTTAGGTGTGGCTGACAGTGCCCCCTATGTGAATGGCAGAGGGATTCCACATCATCTGTGGGTGTGGATGCAAACAGAATAAAGCTTACATAAATCTGGAAAGATGTGTTTTGTATTTGGAAGGTTTCGATCTTAAATTGCCATTTTCTAAGATATAATTTGAAACATGTTTCTTTGATTAAATTACCAAACCCCTATAACTAACTCTATCTCCCCACAGGGTTGGTAGAAAGCAACCATGGAATTGTATTCTTAATTTATTCCTTATACTACCTTGAAGAAAGACTTCCTTTAAAAAACAAAAAACTAGCCAGACATGGTAATGCGCGCCTGTAGTCCCAACTACTCAGAAGGATGAGGCAGGAGCATCACATGAGCCCAGAACTTCAAGGTTAGCCTAGGCACCTTTGCGGGACCTTGTCTCAAAGAGAATTTAAAGGCATGGTGGGTAGCTCAGTGATAGAATGCTTGGCTGCCATGCACAAGGGAGGCCTTGGGTTCAGTCCCCAGTACTGCAGAAAAGAAAACAAAACAACAAAAAATGCATTACATACATGAGACTCTGCTCCAGAGATAATAAAGTGAATCTGTTGGGCTCTTGGCTTTGCTAAATATGAACTTTTGAATATTTGATCAGAGGCAAAAGTCCTATAATAGTAAAATATATTTCTACTAAAGAAGTTGGGAGACTATGCATGATATACATGAATCATGTTAAATAAATATGGAAATTCATTTTAACAGAGTGAAAACATTGTTATTATATGGTAGTTTTGGTCTTTACACCTGTTACTAATCATTTCTAATAGCCTGTCTCCAAAAATTTAGGGAATTTCTTTTCTCAACAGAGTTCAGTCTCAGTTCTGTTCTGTAGTAAGCAAGTGGGCCAGGCATGGAGGCACACACCTGTAGTTCCAGTACTCAGGAGGCAGAAGCAGGAGGATTACCTTGACTTCAAGGCCAGCCTGGACTACATAGTGAGACCCCATCTCCAAAAAATAAAAAATAGGGCCAGGGATTTAGCTCAGTGGTTCTGGTGACTTTCTCACAAGCGCAAGGACCTGAGTTGGATCCCCAGTACCTCCCGCAAAAAAAATTAAAAAGCAACTGAAAGCAAAATCATCACTATGTTTGAAAGGTCACCAGCATTGTCCTACAAGTGGCTGTTCTTTTCAGAAACAACAGTCTGGCAGAAGTCATCATGCTAGGTATATTTGAAGCTTTAACTTCATATGTTATCTGGAATTTCTTAAGAATTTAGTGAGCAAACTGATATTTCACTGCAGATTGCCATACCTTTAAAAATAGCATACTTGCCGGACAAGGTGGCACACAACTGTAATCTTAGCACTTGGGAGGCTGAGGCAAGAGAATTGCCACACATTCATTGTCAGCCTGGGCTTCATAGTGAATTCAAGGCCAACCAGAACTGCATAGTCAGACCCTGTCTCAAAAAAACACCAAAAATAAATAAATACGTACATACATACATACCTACATACATAAATGACATTACTTTGTAATGTTGTTTGAAACTATTGACACCATTATGACAGGCCAGGGATTTAGCTCAGTGGTTCCTTGCAAGCCCGGGACCTGAGTTCAATCCCCGGTACCCAAAAAAAAAAAAGGACACCGTTATGACTTCTCTGGCTTGTTTACTTAAATTCTTCTCTCCTGTGTTTCCTTCACTTCTGACACTATTTCCTATCTAGCGTGTGTGTCTTTTTCCATAACAGTTTGAACCTTGTGCAGAAATCCACAGAATGCGGGCATGGGTTTCTAAGTCATCTAAAGTGACTGAAACATGATTTTAAAACTCTGCCTTTAACTCCACAGTTAGTTTCAAGTCAAAAGGCTTGTGATGTAAAACATCATGGTCTATGTGGTGTAAAAATAGAATCAAAGTTTTGAGAGTCAATTTGTAATTTTTTAAATTTTTTTCTTCATTCTTTAGGAAAGGGTTAACATTTTCTTTCTTATTCAGTCCTTTGAAAAATTTTGCTTTATAGCAACTGTATTATTTCTAAAGTTAGTATAACTTCTCTGTAAACCTCTAAAATAAATAATCCTCTTTTTAAATTAAAAAAAATTAATTGAAAGTTTGAAAACTAACAAGGTATTTGTCAAAACTAAGGAATTACTGTTAATTTTTTAACTATGTCATGCTATGTGGTTATGTTGTCATTACCTTTCAGAAATATGAAATTATGTAGTATCTAAGATTTGTTTTACAATAATATGAAAGGCAAGTAGGTAAAGACATAGATGAAATGAGATTCATCATAAATTTAAAGTCTTAAAAATAAATAAATTTAGGGCCAGGGATTTAGCTCAGTGGTGCCGCTGCATGCCTCACAAGCACAATTTGATTCCTGGTACAGAAAAAAAAAAGCAAACAAAAATAAATAAATTTAAAGTCTTTGCAATTGCTAATGGGTTCCTAGGAAGTTATTGTACTATTCTGTTTATTTTTGTATGTATGTGGTTAAAGTGTTTTTAAATGTCTTCTGATAGCAAGGTCTCATCAGGAACAAAATTGTTAATATTCTAATAAAGTTCTGTTTTATTCTACTGGTTGGGCTGGGGATTTAGCTCAGTGGTTCCACTGCCTGCCTTGCAAGCACAAGGTCCCAAGTTCAATCCCCAGTACCAAAAAAAAAATTTTATTTTCCTGGTTATAAGTATTTTTTTCTCTTTTCTATTAATAGACTGAAGACATTAAAGAGATCGCTCGAAAGACACAAGCTTTGCCAAAGGTGAACTCAAAGCGGCAGCGACTGGTCGTCTTCACCCAAGGGCGAGACGACACCATAGTGGCTACAGGTACATACGGGAAATGTGTGATGGGTCTAGGGTGACAGAGTGTAATCATTTACAGCAGAATTCTGGACTTTTTTTATAATGTATTCACAGCAGTGTCTGATACAGTTTTTTATTTTAATAATATACCTACCCTCTCAGTGGAAAAGATTTCATTTTCAGGAATAATAATTTGTTAAAATTCAATCAAAGCCACATTGATAGTTTTTTTTTCTTTAATATTTTGGAGATTTTGTTAGTCCAGAAATGTCTTTCCTTAACAAAAGAGTACATTTTACTTATAAAATACTAGTAAGAAGATAAAATAAACTTAGGCAATTATGAATAAATAAAATTCTGAAGTTAATTCCTCATATTTTCCTTCAAAAAATCTCATTTCAATTTTTATTTATCCATCCATTTTGTAGCATTCATAGAAAGTTCCTCTAGTGAAAAAACATGTTATTGGTTAAAATGGTTAAGGTCAATGTGATGCCACTTCCTATTAAAGCCAAATTAAGCTGGGCATGGTTGCACACGCCTGTAATCCCAGCACTCAGGAGGCTGAGGCAGGAGAATCGCTGTGAGTTCAAGACCAACCTGGACTACACAGTGAGTTCCAGAGCAGTCTGAACTAATAGTGAGACCCTGTCTTAAAAACAAAACAAAACAAAACAAAACAAAAAAACCCAATAAATAAATGAATAAAGCCAAAATATAAGCCTTTTAATTCTATCCAGAATTCTGTCCAATTGAAACCAGTTAGTGGTTATTGTAAACAGTAACAATTATTGCCTGTGTAATCAATACTCAGTTGAACACTGAAATTAAGTATATTATTAAATATCTAACTAGGAAGCCTTTCATTGGGGCACACTCCTGTAATGGAGGTTGAAGTAGGAGGATTGCTGGGAATTCAAGGCCAGACCAGGCTACATAGTAAAACCCTATCTCAAAAGAAAAACCTAACTAGGAAACAAAATTAATATCCATAAAATATGAGTATAAAGTATAATTATACTTATTTATTGATATAAACTAAATGGATTCATGACAAGAGAAACATCAGTAAAGGTTGAAGAAAATTATAGTGAATATGAAATAAATTCTTGATTAATTAAATATGTAAAACGTGAAAAGGGTCAAAGTTTAAATTACTATCCAGTTTGAGGGCAAAGGGACCCTAGAAATGATTCGCTGCAATTTTCTTATTGTAGAATTGTCAAAAGCAAGATTCGGGGTTGATTTAATATAATTCAGTGAGGCATGGTATGGTGGCACACACCTGTATGCCCAGAACTTGGGAGGCTGAGGCAGGAGGATTGCCATGAGTTTGAGGCCATCCTGGGCTATATAGTGAATTCAAAGCCAGCCTGAACTACACAGTGTGACCCTGTCTCAAAAAAACACATTATAATTCAGCGAGTAAAGTGGGTATATTGATGAAAGAGACTAGTCATGGGTTAATTGTTAAAAATGACTAAATATATTGGGGGAGCGATTATGTTGTTATGTCCACTTGTGTATTTTTTAAAAGAAAGACAAAAATTAAAAATGTATATATTTTGAAGCAAGTCTCAATGATATTAAATGGCTTTCTCAAGATAAACTGATATCCTTTCTAAGCCTTGAATTCTAGGAGGGATTTAAAGAAAGGAGGGCAATCCAGTCAAATCGGCTCTTGTACACGAAGGCACAAAGTAGTCCATAATCTTTTATTGTGGCAGGAAAAACCATGTTGTTAATTTGTGAGTGAAAAGAAACAAACCATGAAAAGATATCACTGCATTGATAAACTGTCTGGATTGTTGTCTTGCTATCACATGTGACCTATTCCTATGTTCGCAATGAACATTTTAGAAAAGTGAAATGCACGCAGATTTTTCTAGGAGGTATAATATTACCTTCGCATTCATAAAATGCTATGAAGTTGCTCTTTATGGGGACATTCATTTTAAGGCTCTCTCTATTCCAGATAACACATATCGTTCAAATATCTTCCTCACTATGAATTTGCATGATTTCCCCCAAATTGAAAATTAGCCTGCCTGTCTTGTGACTGAATTTCTTTCAGAACTTATTTTGTTCTTTATTAAATCCATTAAGCCATTGTTAAGAATAACTACAATCAGGAATTTATTTGAGCAAAGACACTGGCTAATCTTTAGTGTTCCTGCCATATGAAAATGAACTTAAATTAGAGGATGCACTGTATCTGCAATGCATGATAAATACAAGATGGATAGAGAATCTGTTCCATGGTGTCAGCTACAAAAGCAAACATGATAAATGTTAATGCAGTTTTGAGCCCTGGGATAAGCTATTCAGTGCACAAGCATAGTTGAATCTCTTTGCTATGTTGTTATTCATGGCAGCCAAATAAATGTCAATAATAGAAGAGAATTAAAGATTTTCATTTCCCAGAGGCAGTCCTCTAATACGGCTTGATCTTTCATTTCATTTGTAACTCGTTCTCATGTCAGGATGCAATCATTCGCCAGGCTCTGGGTGTCATGTTAAGTCATTTAATAATGATTAAGAACATAAAAATGCTTGGCCTGTGGGGCAATTCACAGAAGAGATGCCAATTTGTTATTGTTTTCCCTCCTTTCCTTTTGAATATGGATCAGCTTTTTCCCACCTCCTAGCGTTAAAATACTAATGGAAGTTAGGGAAGGAAAGTGTCCCTTAATTTACCGTGAGTGACATTCCAGAATGGCACAAGACAGTACTAACACACTTATTAAAACACTAATTAGGGATCATTGTGCCTTAAACCTCACACTGTAGAGTATTTTTAAATGATCACAGTGGTAAGTTTGCGGCATTTAGCAATAATGTTAATAAAATCAGTTTCCGGCATATTTTATTCTAGATACGTATCTCCTTTTGAGATGTTATCAATGAACCACTGTCTCTTACAGATTTAATTCTCTAAATTCTTCTCGTTTTAATTGCCTGTGAATCTAGTCTTTTCCACTCTTCTTTCGTCTTTCATCTGAGTTTCCATCTAGCCCAAGGGTTCTATCACATATCAGTCATGGTTTCAGTGCGTATTGGCTAATTGAGTTCCAAAAAATTTTGTAAAGAAGGGCTAGATACTGTAGAGTTTTAAGAATAACAGTGGATAATGCCACTTTTAGTTACATGTCGAAAGGGATTTTAAGTAGAAACTTGAATACATGTGTGTCCATGTTCGTGCCGGCATTATTCACATAAGTAAAATACAGTACATATGTACAACAGACTATCATTTGGTCTAAAAAGAGGGGAATTCTGACGTAGGCTGTAACATGCATGAACTTTAAAAACACTGTGGTAAGTGAAATAAACCAAATATTACATATATTATTATATTGTATTATATTATATGTATGACAAATATTATATAACTCCACTTTATGAGATACTTAAAATAGATTCATAGAAATAGAAAACAGAATGGTGGTAGCCCATGGCTGGTGCAGGAAAGTTATTATTTAATGGGTACAGTGCTTCAGTATTGCAAGAATAAATTGCACATTTTTCTGAAAATGTTTGTATTTCTTTTTTTTTGGTACCAAGGATCGAAACTCATGTCCTTGGTGCTTGCAAAGCAGGCGCCGAAACCACTGAGCTAAATCCCCGACCCAAAATGTTTGTATTTCTTCCTGGCCTGTTCGAAGTGTAACCTTGCACAAAAGAAGAAAATATATTGGTTCACAGAGATTTGTTTTGTTTTGGTACCCGGGATCAAAGGCAGGCTTGGTGCCACTGGTTCACAGAGACTTTTAAGTAAGAGACTACTGCTGTCCTATCAAAGTTACCTAGTGAGTTTTTGCTGAATACAATGCTGCTTCCTTAAAAGCACCTTCCCTTCAATCTGATACATCCTGGTGAGAGCAGTTTTAGAACAGACATCCTCATGGAGATGTATGATGATGTTTGTGGTAGGGTGTGGAGAAGGCAGTATAGAGTTGTGTACTTGTTTTAGAGGTTCTCTTAAATGATATAACAGTGCTGTCTTTTCTCACTTCTCACTTTGAGAATCATTCAGTTAGATGATTTGATAATACTGCCAAGGCTTATGATCCTGTGGAATTATGCAAACGGAACAGCTAAACATCAGTGAGTCGGGATTTGGTAGGTACTTCTTTTCTTTGATGCTATTCTCTTTAGATCCATGAAAAGGAATCAAGAACTCACTGATTCTTGTAGATAATCTGCAGATTAGCCTCCTACTTTTGAGATACTTGTAATTTATGATAATCATATCATAGTGCCATGGGTCATTTCATTGTAAATCAGTAGTAGTATTGAAGTTACTTGTTACTTCATCTGCTAGTTAAGTTTTTGTGTTCTGTGAAAATACTCAAATGCTCTTCATTAGTCTGTAAGAAAAGGTCAATGTGATTTGCAAGTCTGGTAAGCATACAGCAGACAGTGTGGCCTAAAAAATGTAAACTCTCAAGCAAAACAATCTCAGCAGTTGGAAGAATAATGTCAGCCTACCATTCTAACTCCTACTGCTACAGAATATTAATATAAATCATTTTAAAAATGCTATCTCTACTGCAGCCAAACCAGTTTTAAATGATGATCTTGTTGGCATAGGCTGGTAGTAGTAAGGATAAAACAAGTTAAGTAGCATTCTTTCAGAATGTCTCTGTATGGTATTCACAGAAATAAGTTCTTACGAGGGAGGATTTGAAGAAAATATATTTCTTACTTTTTATATTATTTTCTTGTTTTTGTATTATTGTAACCACAAAAGACAAAATTTTTTAATTAGCAAAGTGGTCAAAAATAATTTACGATAACCTGTGCAACTGTCATATTCTTGTCCAAAATAAAACAAAAATATCTTTGGGGCATGGTTTATGTTTTAGTGATCTCAGACCTGAAGAAAGAAGATTTTTTTTCAGCTGGCACTTTTCAGTCAAAAAGGATCCTGCCGGCTGCCGTTGATTTCTGAACGAACCTTTTAGTCAGATATAGATTACATATATTAAAATTAACATCTGTTTTCCTAAATGACATGTAAT